TTTATTTATTTTTGGGACAGAGAGAGACAGAGCATGAACAGGGGAGGGGCAGAGAGAGAGGGAGACACAGAATCGGAAACAGGCTCCAGGCTCTGAGCCATCAGCCCAGAGCCCGACGCGGGGCTCGAACTCACGGACCGCGAGATCGTGACCTGGCTGAAGTCGGACGCTTAACCGACTGCGCCACCCAGGCGCCCCGAGAAGCATATTACAGTTTTTAAATGCAATCACATCATATTGAAACTCACCTTTCTTATTTCATATATCAGCACATACAGATCTACTTTGTTGTTCTTTTTAAAAACTATTTTTTATTTAAAAAAATTAATGTTTACTTATTTTTGAGAGGGGGGAGGAAGGGGCAGAGAGAGGGAAACAGAGGATCTGAAGCAGACTCTGCACTGACAGCAGAGAGCCTGATATGGGGCTCAAAGTCATGAACCATACAATCATGACCTTAGTTAGCTGAAGTCTGTCGCTTAACCGACTGAGCCAGCCAGGCACCCCATGTTCTTCTTTTTTTATTAGGTAAAATAGACACATATCTTATACAGAGTTAAAAAGGCACAAAAGTGTATATTTTGAAAAATAAGTCTCCCTTCACCCTTGTTCCTCTTAGTCACCTATCAGAATTGATGTCACTAGTTTCTTGGGAGCATTCGGAGGGCTCATTCCTCTGAATAGCAGCATAGCTGTCCATTGTATGGATGTGCCAAGTCCATACACCAAATTACTTTGGTGTTTCGTTAGAGGGACACTTAGATCGTCTCCAGTGCTATTACCCATTAGGATCTAAATTCCATGTCAATGTTATCAGTTACTTATCACTCTTAACTTTTGTTGGCAATAAAGTGTTCCAGATTGTATAGGTGCACCATAATTCATTCATCATTTCTCTACTGATGAGAATGTAGGCTTAAATACAGTTTGCTCTGCTCCTAGGGTACCTGTCCTATTAAATACATCTGCCATTTACCGGCAGTATAGTTTCTTACGTACTCCTCCAGTGCGCTGTGAGCTCCTCAAAAGCAGGGGAAATTGTTCATGTTCATCTTTGTATCCTCATAGCCTAAGCACCGAATTTGGTCCAGAGTACACGCTTTCCACGTTTAGGTACAATAATAATTGAATCGCCCGCCCTGAGTCCTGGAACCGAGTGTGAGGAGACGAAGCGAAGGCAAAGCCGTGCCCTTTTAAGCTGTCCCAGCCTCAGAGGTCCGGAACTTTCGTTAGACGTTTCATTGTTTCTCAGGGACGATTTTAGCCTCCGAGCGTGCCCCGCACAAGCATGGTTGTTACGCACCGGAAGTAGCTTGTTATTTTGCGGGAGTCAGTTCTTCCGCGGGGCGGAAAAGGCAATTAAGCATGTGTTCCTATCTTTTCCAGTCCCCTTTCCTTGCAGGACCCTATGAGCAAGCTGTGGCGGCGCGGGAGCACCTCTGGGGCTATGGAAGCCCCTGAACCGGGTAGGCGCGGGTCGGTAAAGCAAGTTAGGCGTTCTCAGAAAAGGAGTCCCTTTTTTTGCTCTTCCGAGCCTCCGGGGTACTTAGCCACAGGTGGGAAGGAGAAAGGCGGAGGTGTTGTTATGGTAACAGCGTGTACCGCGGGAAGAGTGGGCCCCTTCGGGGGTATTGGGTTCTTCAAGGCTTTCCCTGCCCGGCTGTTGTGGTCCACTGTTGACAGGCTTTCCTTACGCAGGGGAAGCACTGGAATTGAGTCTGGCGGGTGCCCACGGCCATGGAGTGCACAAGAAAAAGCACAAGAAGCACAAGAAAAAACACAAGAAGAAACACCATCAGGAAGAGGAGGCTGGGCCGACGCAGCCGTCACCTGCCAAGCCCCAGCTTAAACTCAAAATCAAGCTGGGTGGGCAGGTCCTGGGCACCAAGAGGTGAGGCCAAGAAAGCCAAGGTTTTACTTGAGGAACTTTAGGAGCAAGCAGAGGTAGAAGAAGCTCTCTGGGCTTTCCAATAGAAGAGAATGGACACTGATTTCAGGGCTGAGGTTAAGGTAGCGAGAACCCAAGAGGGTGCAGGGGAGGACTGGAAAAGGCTACCAAGCAGGAGGAGACAACTGTTCAGCTTACACAGTGGTTGCTTTTCTGCAGTGTTCCTACTTTCACTGTGATACCTGAAGGTCCTCGATCACCCTCTCCCCTTATGGTTGTGGACAATGAAGAGGAACCTATGGAAGGAGTCCCCCTTGAGCAGTACCGTGCCTGGCTGGGTGAGAAGGATCTGGAGGTGGGGAAACTGGGTTTCTCATTATACCTGATTAAAGGAGGAGGGTTGGTTCTGAGGATGGTGAGAATTTTGAGTGTCCCAGTATTAACTTGGCTAAATTAGGGTACCCCATCTGAACAATTTTACTTTTAGCTTTCCAACTTTGCTTTCCAGATGAAGACAGTAATCTATCCCCCTCCCCACTTCGGGACCTGTCGGGGGGCTTAGGGGGTCAAGAGGAAGAGGAGGAACAGAGGTGGCTGGATGCCCTGGAAAAGGGAGAGCTGGATGACAATGGAGATCTCAAGAAGGAGATCAACGAAAGGCTGCTCACTGCTCGACAGGTAAGTCGGTTCATTCTTTATTCACTTGCTAAACATATAATGAGAATTTCTCATGTCCCAAGAATGTTACTAGGCAGTGGGGATATCGATGGTGAAAAAAAGACAGAAAAGGTTTCTGTTCTCATGGAGTGGTATTCGTGTGTGTGCGTGCGTGTGTGTGTGTGTGTGTGTTGGGGGAGAGGGGTAAGTAAATAATTTTGAAGAGCACGGTTTATAACAAAGATAGGGTGATGAAATAGAAAGTGGTGGAGAAGAAATGTTAGATAGTGTAGTCAGGGAAGACCTCTCTGAAGAAAGTACATTTCCAATACCAGGGGAGCTTTTCAGGCAGAGACCAGCAGGTGCAAAGACCCTGAGAGTGGAACATGCCTAGTATTGGTCAAGGAGAAAAATAAGTGTGACTAAGCCATGAAAGTATTGTTTGCAGGAAAGTGATACATTTGATTTATATTTTGGTAGATTACTTTGGCTTCTTCGTGGAGGTAAGGAGTAGAAGCAACATCTGCCAGGAAGCTGTAGGAATCAGGTGAAAGATGGGGTGGTGGCTTGAACCAAGGCGAAATTGTGGAGAAGGAGGAAATCAGATGGATTCTGGATCTATTTTGGAAATAGACACCTGTTAGGAGTCAGGGAAGGGGTAGCAAAGGAGTCAAGGGTAACCCTGAGTTTT